TTTTTTTTGAAAACGCGAAAATCTGGGTCGGTCGGACGACGCTAAACAGAGAAAAGAAAGGGGATGGCCTAAGATGGCGGCTGATGATCGAAGTAGTCGAGATATGGAGGAATTCCTTGACTCCATGAAACAATGCCTTGACGATGTCGATCAGGCGCTTGCTGACGAAAATGCTTCTATTCCATTTGACTACTTAGAGAGTAGGCTAGAGGACCATTTCCAAATTCTTAACGCAGTAGCAATCGCAATACAGGATAATGCCGGTGGTGATCTGAAGCAGGCTGTTGAAGACCTGCTGTCATTTTCGGCAAAATTTGCTCCAGGAAATCCATGCCACAAAGGTTCAGAGGGTTCATTCAAAGGTTCATTCACCCTCATTCACCCTAATTCACCTTCATTCACCTTCATACACCCGCATTCACCTTCATTCACCTTCATACACCATCATTCATCCTCATTCATCTTCATACAACATCATTCATCCTCATTCACCCTCATTGACCCTCATTCACTCTCATTCACCTTCATACACCTTCATTCACCTTCATACAACTCCATTCACCTTCATACACCTCCATTCACCTATCTACACCTCTATTCATCTTCATACACCATCATTCACTTTCATACACCATCATTCATCCTCATTCACCTTCATTCACCCTCATTCACCATCATTCACCCTCATTCACTCTCGTTCACCTTCATTCACCATCATTCATCCTCATTCACCTTTATTCACCCTCATTCACCTTCATACACCACCATTCACCTTCATTCACCTTCCGTACACCTTCATTGACTATCATTCATCCTCATTCACCTTCATTCACCATCATTCACCTCCATTCACCTTCATCCACCTTCGTACACCTTTATACACTATCATTCACCTTCATTTACCTTCATACACCATCATTCACCCCCATTCATCCTCGATCACCTTAATTCACCATCATTCACCTTCATACTCCATCACCCTCATTCACCTTCATTCACCATCATTTACCCTCATTCACCTTCATTTACCATCATTCACAATCATTGACCCTCATGCACCTTCCTACACTACTATTTACCCTCATTCACCTTCATACACCTTCATTCACCATCATTCAACCTCATTCACCCTCATGCACCTTCATACATCATTATTCACCCTCATTCACTTTCATTTACCATCATTCACCTTCATACACCTTCATTCACCATCATTTACCCTCATGCACCTTCATACACCCTCATTCATCTTCATTCACCCCCATTCGCCTTCATACACCTTCATACACCTTCATTCACTATCATTCACTATCATTCACCCTCATGCACCATCATTCAACCTCATTCACCTTCATTCACCCTCATTCACCATCATTCACCC